TTATATATATATGCTTGCATGTGAACTGGCCTTGTGGCCCTTGAACTTGTGCTCAGAATGTGTAGTGACGTTGGGATCCACCCTGAGGTTGTTGTGCTTTGCCTGACTAGTCTTGTGACCCCTTGTTCTCCTCCACTTTGCTTATGGGGGTGTGTCAAACTTATATGCTTTAATCTTTCTAGGCTGTAGTGGGGTAGACAGTATGGGGTACAGCTTTCTAGGGTTTCATATTTGTACCCAACTCATTTCCTAGTTCATTATTCATTCCTCATTTCTTCACACGAAACATCCCAACATGTTATATGAGTGCAACACGATAGTGGGAGAGCGCATTCTCTATGAGGTAATACGTTACTGCCGTGCCTTAGGAGCGCTACATAATATGTCGGTTATTCAAGAACACACAAACATGAACACACAAACAATCAAGTGATCAAACGGGCACGCACATACGACCTCTAGTCCTATAAAATATATGAATGATGTCAGAGGTCCACTGGTGATCCCCGATTGATCCTAGGGAAGGGTTACAGGCACGTTGGCCTGGGGGGTTATGGGCGCACTGACCCGCTACTTAAATAAGCTCTTTTATCCCAATGGTCTAGTGGTTGGGATTCTGACATGGTATCAGAGCGAAGGTCTCGGGTTCGAATCCCGGTGTATGCACTCCGGGCATCCCAGTGCGGGGGGATGTCAGAGGTCCACCGGTGATCCCCGATTGATCCTAAGGAAGGGTTACAGGCACGTTGGCCTGGGGGGTTATGAGCGCACTGACCCGCTACTTAAACAAGCCCTTTTATCCCAATGGTCTACTGGTTGGGATTCTGACAAATAAATCGGGATCGTTCAAAAGGCTCGAAAAGAGGAGCTTCGAATGAAAGAAGCAAAAACCCCAAAAATGATAAATCTTAAATACGTATTATGTTTTCTTTTAAATCACGTATTGTGAAAACACACCTGCTTGTAACGTAGGTTTTGGCATCATGAAGTGTGCTAGACACTCTTCTCCAACTATAAATCATGGTTGGAACTTGGAACTCATTTTCCTCCACACACATCTTTCATTTTCCAGTGGCTCGTGCACCTCTCTAACCCCCCGTCCAACACCAATCATAACTATATTGCTGCTTGAACATGATAAGTTGAGCTAATATATCGTATACCCCCGGATAAAAGCCCCTTCTTTCTGGTTTTCGATTTGTTGTGGAAGGGGGAGGGGGGAGGGGGGGGTGGTGGTTTTCGAAAATTCTTCTTATCGCCCTATGGCTTATTGAAGAAAATATTTGTGCCACATCATGGGAAAAATGTCGAGAGTAATAGGAATAACTAGTTAGAAGGTGGGGCCTAGGCTTAGTAGCCTAGGCCCGAACTTAGGTATCGAGCGGGATTTTCCCTAGGAGCGATGTATCGAGTGAGTTGAGAGAAATTGGTGAAAAGGTTGGTTTCACTATAGGTTCAGGGGTACATATAGCATAGAAACACAATAAGGTGCACCACCAACAAAAGTTTACATAACTACACTAACTACAACTACAAGCAATTATAAAACATGACAAAATATTTCGACACGCCCCCATAATGCTTGTAGGTAGGTATGTAGTTACAGCAACAGCAGGTACCCCTTCCATCTCCTCACCCTCCTCCTTCCCCTCCCCCACACTGCTGCAGAAGCAGCAGAGAAGGGGGGAAGAGAGGAGAGGTGGAGGGACGGCTGCTTGTTGCCTCACACCCGCCACCCCGGTACCACTCCCCCTCCTCACCCACATCCTCACACCCTCCCCCCCTAGCGGCAGCTGCAGCGGTGGGACTGAAAGAAGGAGGAGGGAAAGGGAGAGAGTTGACCCCACGCTCCAACACCCTCCACCCCCATACCCTCCTCCCCACGGCTGCAGGGAGACAAGAGAAAGGGGGGGGTGGGAAGGAAGAAAGCCGCAGAGCGGCGAAGAGGCGTCGGTGCAGATGGGTCAGGGGCGGCAGCAGGGAGTGCAGGGGCGGAAAGGCCCGTCGCGGGCCAGTGCCACGGGGCGCACGACGGGTAGAATAAAAGGGCCCGATCGTGTGCCTCGGGGCACACGACGAGCAGGGCACCATCGTGTGCCACGGGGCGCACGATGGGCAGTAGAAGGGCACCGTCGCGTGCCACGGGGCGCGCGACGGGCAGGGAAGGAGTCACACGCCCGTGGGCGGGACAAGGTAAAAATAAAACCGTCACGCGCCCTAGGCGCGCGACCGTAAAATCTTAGCAGCGGAAGTAAAGCGGGCCCACAGGCCAGGACGAACACTAAGCTCCGATAACATGTCGAGAGTAATAGGAATAACTAGTTAGAAGGTGGGGCCTAGGCTTAGTAGCCTAGGCCCGAACTTAGGTATCGAGCGGGATTTTCCCTAGGAGCGATGTATCGAGTGAGTTGAGAGAAATTGGTGAAAAGGTTGGTTTCACTATAGGTTCAGGGGTACATATAGCATAGAAACACAATAAGGTGCACCACCAACAAAAGTTTACATAACTACACTAACTACAACTACAAGCAATTATAAAACATGACAAAATATTTCGACAAAAAAATCACACGTCTGACACGGATTGGGTATCGGTTTGTAAATATCCTTATCGCCTTTTGCTTATGTTAAGCCCCAGGGCGGAAAAAAATTGCGGAGATTTATGCACGGAGAAATACGGTAATACCTTGTACACGCGCTTGTTTTTATAGTTCGACTACTTGCTGTAATTTGCCAATTGAAATTAGGACGATGGCAATTAACGAGGAGAAGAAAGTGTTGACGGCTATTTGGGACCTATAGGCTCTATACACACCTCACCGTTTTCTTTCACCGTTGGCGAATATGCGGTAGGTTGCCGTGCAAACTACATATTGCCCTCAACAAAAAGCACTCGTTTTGCTATGAGAACCCGCCTGATTGTTTTAAACATCCACTAGAAGAGGTGTGTTATTATTAGCATGTTTTTTCAATATATAGTTGAAAGTTGATTTGTTATGTTCCATTTTGGGTGTACAGTTTGCAACCAAGTTGGATGTTTGAAAAGGGGTTGGAGATTGGCCACACAACTTGCGCCACATGGCATCTCACAAATTGTAACATAGCATTGGTGACCCACAAAGCACTCTCCAACACTCATGTCTTTCTCATATATAAACCACAACTTCCTTTCCCCAACCATCCGCAACACTTTAGGACTTATACATTGTAGTTAATCCGCCTTTTTTACCTCCGCTAGCATTCCTATCTACATTCATTAAGCTGTAGCGTTACCAGCAATAGACTAGGAAGTTAGTGACAATATAAGCAACAAGATCTAGGCGTTGAGCATAGAGATACTAGTTCATCCACGGAGCGCACCCCGGCTGAGATGAGTTGATCAGCGAGTTATAGGTTTGAAAGTCTCGGTTAGAACAGGACCATGCAGGAAGGTGCTCTCGTAGACAAAAGGGTTTGATCGAGGAGATGGAGCGAATGTCTGCTAACGTGCTGTTTGCAATGGAGGAAGAGAGATGGTTATGAACATCAAACACCCAACATGTCTAAGGGTATTGACAACTGGAAGGGAAAGTCCAAGACAAGTTGGGTATGTCCCACCCCCAACAGCGGACCCTGATAGTGTGAGCCCGTAACTAGCATAGCAGACTAACGGCTGGTCATGCCTCTGCGTGTTTCCGTCTACCTTGCAGGGCTGCGTGCCGCGGCTCCGTTCCCGTTTCCCGTCAAGTATATACGGCATCGTATAAGTCGAAGTATTCTGCCAGCAGCAGCAGCAGCATTTCGACAGATCAGCTTGCGCGACGCGGGTCGCTCGAGGAGGTCGCTGAGCCTGCATGGATCCTACCAACGTTGCAGGCGACATCTACGGTGCGTCGCACACGTCCTCTCCGCCGTCCGTCGCATACTTCCCCTCCGTCGCTCAGGCCGCGTCGCTCTCCGTAGGCTGGCCTACCCGACCTGGTTTCCCGGGTCGCCAGGGATTTCATTTCCAGACCTTAGAGATGCGCGAGGTTTGGGATTGCGGTGTACTGACCAAGCTCACACTACACGGTGTTTCTGCCGTCTGGCGGAACGTTAGTCGCACGCTGCTGATGTGCATGATGAACGGGACGAGAAGCGCAGCATTCAGTGAACGAGTCGTCGTTAGAATCCCCCTGAGTTCTTTGAACGAGCCGCCTGTCTTCGTCGCACGCTCATGCGACAGACTCCTCTCAGTCCCGTGGTCGTGCGACAGAATCCTCTCGTCGTACTCTTATGCGACAGAATCCTCTCGTCGCACTCTTACGCGACAGAATCCTCTCGTCGCGCTTTCATGCTACAGAATCTCCTTGTCGCACGCTCATCTGGCAGAATCCTCTGGTCTCCTCTTCTTTCGGCCTTCACTGACCGACGCATTTCCGGTAGATGAGGCCTAGACGCATCGTTACAGATCCACCCGTTTGGCCCACCCATGCGACCCACCCGTGCGACCCACCCGTGCGACCCAACCGTGCGACGCAACCGTGCGATCCACCCGTTCGACCCACCCGTTCGACCCACCCATTTTGCGGCTCACCCGTGCGACTCACCCGTGCGACCCACCCGAGCCAGCGCGTTCTAGCCTCGTCTCTTTTCCAATTAAGAGCGTCGTTTCTCTGTTCGCCTCGCCTCCGCATCTCGCGGGCCAGCTTGCGCTAAATCAGCGGCGCGGCTGACAGCTGGTCGACCAGCCAGTTCAGCGCACGGTCAGCTGCCTTTTTAAGAATTCTCGGAGACAGCTGGTCGACCAGCCAGTTCCGCGCACAGTCAGCTGCCTGCTGTCGACCGCCGACCGGTGACGGCGCAACTTCGGGCGCACCGTCATCATTTCGCGCGCCTTTTTGCCGCAAAAGAAGGGCTCTGCGTGCACGCAAGCCCATTCGCCTGAAGCAGAGGACTTGTGAAGCAGAGGGCTCGCGTCGCGACCTGTTGAAGACGGAGAAGAGATCGCATTTGGACCGTAGTGTTTCAGGGGCTTGAGAATGGAGCAACCAGTGCAGAAGTGCCTCCGTCTGCTTGCTCCAGTGAGGGGATTGGAGTGCGGACTACTGCGAGCAGCCAAGCAATGGAAAAAAATGAGGAGAGCCCGAGGTGGTGAGCACAGTACCGCTCTACAACTCCGTCAGGGAGATTGTTGCGTGTGTATGGACCCCTCGACATCTCTTGATCGTTGATCTGAACCGTCCTTCCTCACACCCCCTCAATCTCCACACACGAGCAGACATGGACCCCGGAGAGCCCGAGGTGGTGAGCACAGTGCCGCTTTACAACTTTGACGGCAAGACTGTTGCGTTGCGTGTGTGTATCCCCTTACAACTCCTGAGTGTTAATACCAACCCTCCTTTCCTCACACCCCCCTGCCTCTGCCCCCTTCGTCCCATCCACCCAATCCGTGCATGATGAGCAGACATGGACCCCGGAGAGCCCGAGGTGGTGAGCACAGTACCGCTCTACAACTTTGACGGCAAGATCATCTGCAACCTCGCGGCTGACACGTGGCCTCTTGACATCAGGTCAGTGCCTGGCTGACACGTGGCATCTTGCTTTCCCTGCCCCCTCTTGTGCACCTCCGCTCTGCCCTGCCCACTCCCTCCCACGTTCCGTCCGTATCCACCCGGCCTTGTGCATCTCATACGTGCTGTCTTGTGCGTCATGTGCCTGTATCGAGGTGACTTTTGAGTCGACTCAAAAGTCACCCTGTGCATCTCATACGTGCTGTCTTGTGCCCCGTGTGCCTGTATCTCTTCTACTCACAGCGACGAGACGTGGGTGCTGCTGCTGCCGAAGCTGACCGTGGAGCTGCCATCGCAGCCCTCCCTGCCACGTCCCCTTCACGCAGTGCATCTTTCACGTGCGTGCCTGCATCCCGTCTCGTCCTTCCCTTCCCCTGCATCCCTTCTCCTCTCAGGGACGAGACGTGGGTGCTGCTGCCGAAGCTGACCCCGCGAGTGGAGCTGCCTTCGCTGCCCTCCCTGCCGCACTTCCGAGTGTACCCCGAGCGCAGCTCCTCCTCTGTGGACGTCAACAATTGGGAGCAGCTCGTGCACGTGCTCAGGACACATGGACGGGTGCGTGGGTGGGTGGGTGGGTGGGTGTGTGTGTGCACGCGCGCACGTGTGTGTGTGTGTGGTTGAGGAAAGAAGGGGTTGAGTCACTTCCGAGTGTACCCCGAGAGGAGCTCCTCCTCTGTGGACGTCAACAACTGGGAGCAGCTCGTGCACATGCTCAGGTCACATGGCAGGGTAAGTGGGTGGGTGGGTGTGTGTGCACGCACACACGTGTGTCTGTGGTTCAGGGGATAGGTACACGTGTGCCGTGGTTGAATCACTTCCGAGTGTACCCTGAGAGGAGCTCCTCGTCTGTGGATGTCAACAACTGGGAGCAGCTTGTTCATGTGCTCAGGGCGCATGGCAGGGTGGGTGGGTGTGTGTTAGAAGGAGTAGGGTAGCTCGTTGTTTACACCTTTGAGAATTCTCAATAGTGATTTCGAGTTAGAAGGAGTAGGGTAGCTCATTGTTTACACCGCAGATGCCAAGCCCGTCCCCTCCTCCCCAACCCCTCTCCCCTTTCCTTCCACCCAGCCTCTCTCTCCCCCCTCGTCCACAATCAACACCCCTCGCCTGTTTAGTCCTTATTCCTTATCTTTTATCATTTTTTCCTCCTCCCCTTCCTCCCATCCCATCAGGTGGGGCTCATCACATCAGCGCAAGGGCAGTACCAGTCCGGCCTCCTCCCCATCGCCACCCCATGCACCTCCATCTCAACCCACCCTCCTCCACTTCGACTGTCCCTCAAGCCCCCTCTTTTCTGTCTTCCCTCCCTTTTTTTCCTCTTTTCCCCTGCTCCTCCTGCCCCCGTTTATCGCCCGTCAGGTGGGGCTCATCACATCAGCGAGAGGCCAGTACCAGTTCGGCCTGCTCCCCATCGCCACCCCTTCCGCCACCACCTCTACCTCCCCTCTCCCACCCCCTCCCGCCTTCTCCGCCCCTCCACACCCCTCTCCAACTCTCCCCACCGGTTTCTCCTCTGCCCGGGCGTACTACGCGCCGCTGCCAGCTGGCATCCCCCGCCGCGCCCCGCGCTTCCCTGCGGTGCTCCCGGGGCTGCTGCCGCCGCAGCAATCAAGACCTGCGCACACGGCACCTGGACAGATGGCACCTGGTCAGATGGCACCTGGTCAGATGGCACCTGGTCAGCAGCACAGTCAGGTGCTCCAGAGACAGGCGCATTCTCAGATGGCACCTGGACAGATGGCACCTGGACAGGTGCTACATGGACAGGCGCATTCTCAGGTGGCACCTGGACAGGCACAAGCTCAGGTGGCAAACGGTCAGGCGCATCTAGGACAGGTGCCACCTGGGCAGGCACACTCGCACGTGCCATCAGCTCCGCCCCCTACTCGAGCAGCCTCACCACGTTCAGTTGCACAGGGTCAGGGGCAAGGGCATGGGCAGGGGCAGCAGATTCAGCAGGGGCAGCAGCAGGGACAAGTGTGGGCAGGGTCGCAGGTGCAACTAGGGCGGGTTCCACCTGGGTTTGAGCCCGAACCACAGGTGTCTTCTGCATCTGTGCAGCAACCCCAACCACAGGAAGCACTACCGCCACAGCCACTACCGCCACCACACCAGCAGCAGCAGCAGCAGCAGCAGCAGCAGCAGCAGCAGCAGCAACAACAGCAGCAACAGTGGCGGCAGCAGCACGGTCACACTCCAGCAGGGCATGGCTCGCCTCGTGCTCCTGGCTCACCAGGCGGCTGGTCCTCCTCCCACCCTCCTCCTCCCCCACACGCCCGTGGTGCTTCCCCCACCCCAAGAGCGCAGAGCCTTCCGGGCCTCACTGCTGCAGGATCTTTCTCCTCTCGCACTGCTGCCTCCGCCCCTGCCGCTCCAGTATCCACGTCAGCACCTCCATTGTCCACGTCAGCATCTCCAGTATCCACGTCAACACCTCCATTGTCCACGTCAGCATGTGCAACCCCCACATCAGCATTCTCTTTCAAAGGTGCACTTCCTCCTCCTCCCACGCTTCCACCCCCTCCTCCCCACCCTCCTTTAGCTCCTGCTCCTGCTCCTCCTCCTCCTCTTCCATCTGCTTCCCCAATGGCCCCTCCACCTGCTCGCCCCTCTCCCCCGCCGCCTCCCCCTTCCCTTCCCCCTACCCGTGCGCCTGGGCCCGGCATGCATCCGCAGTACCTGGCGTCCCTGGCGCACACGCACCAGCAGTGGGTGTTTGGGGGCCTGGCGGAGCTCATTGATAACTCCATGGACGCCAAGGCACGCAGGTAGGGACGGGGGTTGTGACACACACACACACACTCACACGCACACACACTCACTCACACACATACACTCACACACACACACACACACTCACACATGCACGCACCAGCAGTGGGTGTTTGGGGGCCTGGCGGAGCTGATTGATGACTCCATGGACGCCAAGGCACGCAGGTAGGGGCAGCACTTTCACACTCACACACGCATGCACGTACGCGCGACACACGCAACGCACACGCACTCCCATCATGGCACAGACGCACTCCCATCATGGCACAGACGCACTCGCACCAGCTGTGGTTGTTCGGGGGCCTGGCGGAGCTGATAAACAACTCCATGGACGCCAAGGCACGCAGGTACGAAGCAACGCAGCACTTTCTCCCTGGCATGGGTGAGGCTGGGCTGGGGTGATGCACCCACCCACACACACACACCCGTGCATCCACTCCCATCATGTCATGGCACTGGTGCACACGCAGTGGGTGTTCGGGGGCCTGGCAGAGTTTATGGGGATTTTCATCACCATGGCCAAACTTCGGTAGTGGCAGCAGCAGCAGTAGTTGGACCTTGGTTTTCGTGTAGCCCCAAGTTCTGTGTTTTGTTGTGTGTGTATGTGCCCTGCCCTTGGGAATCCCCCACGTCTCTTTCAACGCAGGCTGGACATTGTCATCAGCATGGCCAAGCTCCCTCCAAGAGCAGCCGCGGCTTTTGAGGCGCCTCAAAACTTGCCATTGTACTTCGTTCGTACACGTCCCTCCCTCCATGCAGGCTGGACATCTTCATCAGCACGGCCAAGCTCCCCCCAAGAGCAGCCGCGGCTTTTGAGGCGCCTCAAAACTTGCCATTGTACTTCGTTCGTACACGTCCCTCCCTTCATGCAGGCTGGACATTTTCATCAGCACGGCCAAGCTCCCCCCAAGAGCAGCCGCGGCATTTGAGGCGCCTCAAAACTTGCCATTGTACTTCGCTCGTACACGTCCCTCCCTCCATGCAGGCTGGACATTTTCATCAGCACGGCCAAGCTCCCCCCAAGAGCATCCGCGGCAGCAGCAGCAGCAACAGCAGTCCCCGCAGCATCACCCTCAGCCGCAGCACCGTTACCCTCCTCCTCCTTCACTCGCCCCTCCGCCGCTGTGTCAAGTGAGGCGGTGCCAGTGCTGCACGTGTGTGACGATGGCAAGGGCATGGACCACGGCGAGTTGGTTCAGATGCTGTCGCTGGGCCATGACATTCCAACAGAGGAGGACCCCCACCACATCGGCCGATTTGGTGTCGGCTTTAAGGTGCGCTGCGTTGCACTCATTGCATTGCAGGCAGCCCCCCAACTGTTTGAGTCGACTCAACGGTCACCTTGCTGTCGCTGGGCCATGACATCCCCGCAGAGGAGGACCCCCACCACATCGGCCGATTCGGCGTCGGCTTCAAGGTGCGCTGCACCGCGCTGCACTTCTTCCACACTCGCTCCATCAAAGGACAGGCAGCAGCTCGATATTCTCTTATCTTTTTGATTGATTCTTACAACAAGCCCCATCCTCACCTCACTTCACCTAATACTGTCTTTCTCTGTCGTTCTTTTCTCCGCTCAACCCCTTTTTTCCAACAAGAAACACCAGACGGGCACGATGCGCATAGGAAACGATGCACTGGTGCTGACCCAGTCAAGCGACAGCCGCAGCATCGCGCTCCATCCCTGCTCAACCGGGGCCGGCCGACAGGAGCTGCAGACCCTTGTCGTGACTCTCGTTCCCTCATTCCTCTCGTGACTCTCGTTCCCTCATTCCTTCCGTCCACCTCCCGTCCTCACCACCACCAGACGGGCACCATGCGCATAGGCAACGACGCCTTGGTGCTGGCCCTGTCAAGGGACAGCTGCAGCATCGCTCTGCTCTCCCGCTCGCTCAACCAGGGCCGGCAGGAGCTGAAGATCCCCATTGTGACTCTCACAACCCCTGTTCAAAACCCGAAATGCACTCTCTCTCCTCTCTCCCTTCTCTCTTTCCCTCTCTATTTCCCTCTGTTCCCTTCTTTCCTCCCACCCTCACCACCAGACGGGCACCATGCGCATAGGAAACGATGCCTTGGTACTAACCCAGTCAACAGACAGCCGCAGCATTGCGCTGCTCTCCCGCTCGCTCAACCAGGGCCGGCAGGAGCTGGAGATCCCCATCGTGACGTACAAGCAGGTGGTATCTGGGGGAGGTGCATCTGCAGCAGGGGGAGGTGGATCTGCAGGGGGAGGTGGATCTGCAGCAGGGGGAGGTGGATCTGTAGGGGGAGGTGGGACTGCTGAGTGGCAGCTGGACCTGGGGGTGCATTCAGAGGAGGAGGCGGAGAGGCGCAAGCGAGCAATCTTTGACTTCTCGCCTCTGGACGAGAGAAAGATAAACCAGGAGTTCCGCAAGTGAGTGTTTTTTTCGAATTCGCACGTGAGTGGGTGAGGCCACCACTGCTGCACACGGCCCACTCACCCACACACAGGCACAACCCCCACTGGCACATGCATCTATGTGTTCAACCCTGTACTCTGAGCCTGTTCTTCTCTCTCCTCACTTCCCTCACAGGCTGGAGCAAGCATGTGTTACTAGTGACTCACCCCCCACGGGCACACGCATCTACGTGTTCAACCTCAAGCGCCTGTCCCGCCCCATCTGTGAACAGTATCTCAGTCATGGCGCCTGTCATGGCTTTTACCCCTTCCCAGTATCTCACTACGGTGCTCACCAGTCATGGCTTCCACTGCTTCCCACCCCCTCTTCCCCCCCACTTCCATCCCCTCAGGTTGGAGCAAGCAAGAAGCAGCAGTGACGCCCCCCCCACGGGCACGCGCATCTACGTGTTCAACCTGAAGCGCCTGTCCCGCCCCATATGCTCACAGCGACCCAGTCTTGCTCCCGCTTCCCGCAATCCCCCCCGCAGGTTGGAGCAGGCAAACGGTTCTAGAGACTCCCCCCACACGGGCACGCGCATCGATTTGTTCAACCTGAAGCGCCTGTCCTGCCCAGCTTCTCTGTTACGGCTTCTATGTCCCACCGCTCTCCCGCAGGCTGGAGCTCTCAAGTGGGACCAGTGACTCCCCCCCCACGGGCACGCGCATCTACGTGTTCAACCTCAAGCGCCTGTCGCGTCCAGATGCAGCGTACGAGCTCGAGTGGGACGACGACGCCCACGACATCCTCATCCGCACCCGGCGCCCCCGCTCCCGCCCCAACCAGCTCTGCCAAGACGTGAGTAGATAGCCCACCTCTCCCTCTAACTCTAACTAGTTCTCCCGTCTCCCCCTGTCGAAGTACCCACTGACTGCTCTGCTCCTTGCGCGCTTCTCCCTGCATGTTGGTTCCCTACAGCCCTTGAACCGTCCCCCTTGTCTCTTCTCGCCCCATCCACCAGCTCCTCCTCCTCCACCATTGAGGCGCCTCAAGAGTCGTCTCAGTTCACGCGGATTTTTTTAGGCGCCTCGAAAGTCGTCTTGCCTCATCCACCAGCTCCTCCTCCACCTCCTCTTCTAACCCTCTCTCCTCCATCTCGCTGCAATGCAGTTTCGAGCGGGCATATCCCCCCCAGTGCCTGTTTCACCCACTCGCCCCCCCCCCCCCCAGTGCCTGTTTCACCCACTCGCCCGCCACCATCACAGTGCAAAGCCACGCAGTGCAGGGCAGATATTTCCCCAGTGAGGCAATGCAGGATCCACGCAGTGCAGGGCAGATATTTCCCCAGTGAGGCAATGCAGGATCCACGCAGTGCAGGGCAGATATTTCCCCAGTGAGGCAATGCAGGATCCACGCAGTGCAGGGCAGATATTTCCCCAGTGAGGCAATGCAGGATCCACGCAGTGCAGGGCAGATATTTCCCCAGTGAGGCAATGCAGGAGCCACGCAGTGCAGGGCAGATATTTCCCCAGTGAGGCAATGCAGGAGCCACGCAGTGCAGGGCAGATATTTCCCCAGTGAGGCAATGCAGGAGCCACGCAGTGCAGGGCAGATATTTCCCCAGTGAGGCAATGCAGGAGCCACGCAGTGCAGGGCAGATATTTCCCCAGTGAGGCAATGCAGGAGCCACGCAGTGCAGGGCAGATATTTCCCCAGTGAGGCAATGCAGGATCCACGCAGTGCAGGGCAGATATTTCCCCAGTGAGGCAATGCAGGATCCACGCAGTGCAGGGCAGATATTTCCCCAGTGAGGCAATGCAGGATCCACGCAGTGCAGGGCAGATATTTCCCCAGTGAGGCAATGCAGGATCCACGCAGTGCAGGGCAGATATTTGCCCAGTGAGGCAATGCAGGAGCCACGCAGTGCAGGGCAGATATTTCCCCAGTGAGGCAATGCAGGAGCCACGCAGTGCAGGGCAGATATTTCCCCAGTGAGGCAATGCAGGAGCCACGCAGTGCAGGGCAGATATTTCCCCAGTGAGGCAATGCAGGAGCCACGCAGTGCAGGGCAGATATTTCCCCAGTGAGGCAATGCAGGATCCACGCAGTGCAGGGCAGATATTTCCCCAGTGAGGCAATGCAGGATCCTGTCGCCAGTCGCCACCCCACTATCTCCCTTCCCCCTTCCCCTTTCGCTGCCTCACAGGTGCCGACAGGCTACTCCCTGCGCACCAACTTGCGTTGATGGTGCTTTTGAGAATTCTCAAAAGTACCATCAACGTAGCTGACAGGTGCTGATAGACTACTCCCCGCGCGCCAACATGCGAGTCATGTTTTTCCACAACCCAACCTTCTGCCCTTACCTTTCCCTGCCCGTTCTCTACCTTTCCCACCAGGTGCCCATCGACTACTCCCTGCTATTTGGGAATCACTTTTGAGAATTCTCAAAAGTGCCTCACAGGTGCCCATAGACTACTCCCTGCGCGCCAACATGCGAGTCATGTTTTTCCACAACCCAACCTTCTGCCCTTACCTTTCCCTGCCCGTTCTCTACCTTTCCCACCAGGTGCCCATCGACTACTCCCTGCTATTTGGGAATCACTTTTGAGAATTCTCAAAAATGCCTTACAGGTGCCCATAGACTACTCCCTGCGCGCCAACGTGCGGGTCATGTTTCTTCACAACCCTGCCTCCATCACAGTGCAAGGCCGTGGGGAGCGGTCACATCTCCAGTGCCCCTCTCACCCACTCTCCACCCTTGTATCCCCCTTCCCCCTTGCCTTCCCCTCCCCCCCTTCCCCTTCCCCTTCCCCTTCCGCTTCCCCTTCCCCTTCCCCCTTCCCCTTCCCCTTCCCCCCCCTTCCCAATTGGCCTCTCCGCTTCCCTTTCCCACCTGCGAGTGATGTTTCTCCACAACAGCGCCACCATCACCGTGCAAGGCCGTGTGGAGCGAACATATCTCCAGTGCCTGTCTATACCCCCCTTCCCCTTACTCTCTTCCCTTCCCTTCCCACTTGAACTCCCCCTCAACCCCTCCCTCCCCCCCCCCCCCACAACTCCCCTTCCCTGCAGGTACCAATAGACTACTCCCTACGAGCCTACCTGCGAGTCATGTTTCTGCACAACCCCGCCACCATCTCAGTGCAAGGCCGCGCCGTGCAAGGCAGCGCTGACATCGCGGAGAACCTCTCCCAACCGTTCTCCACCACGGGGACCGTCATGGGGCAGCCGGTGCAAGTGCGGATGGGCATGGACGAAGGCGAGAGGGCGTGTGGGCGTTGCGGGTTCTTCCTGTACTGGCACGGGCGGTTAATTGAAGCTTATAAGCGGGTCGGACGGATGGAATACTCGGGAGATGCTGGGCTGGGGGTGGTTGGCGTTGTCGATACCACCGCTCTCTTTGTGAGTACCTTACCGCACATCCGTGCAAGGTTGAGGTTGTGCAAAACACAGGTGAAGGGTCTTGGAAGGCTGAACGCATGCGAGAGGGCGTGTGGGCGGTGCGGGTTCTTCCTGTACTGGCACGGGCGGCTCATCGAGGCGTATAAGCGCGTCGGACGGATGGAGTATTCGGGGGATGCCGGGCTGGGCGTGGTGGGCGTGGTCGATACCACCGCTCTCTTTGTGAGTACTGTGTGCAACCTGCCTGCTGTGCAAGCATGTGGCCCTTCTCCCTACTAGGAAGCCCCTCATTGCACCCCCTTCAACCGCGTCACACACCTCGTCATGTTCTGCTCTGCAGGATGCATGCACCAGTTAAGCTGGGGCATGCTGAACTGCAATCGCCAATACGAGCTCCCCCTTGTACCCCTCTCAACCACGTCACACTCCTCTTGACCTTCTTCCCTGCAGGATGTAGCCGGAGAGCTGGGGGTGCTGAACTGCAAGCAGCGGTTTGCAGAGGGAGAGGAGTATCAACGGCTCAAAGACTTCCTGTCTGTCACCTTCAACCAGTACTGGGAGGACAACTTTGATAAAGACCTCCCCACTGTGAGTTTTTGTTCTTCTTCTTCTTCTTTTCTTTCCCCATGTGGTGAGTGGTGGAGTGAAGTGGGAGTATCAGCGGCTCAAGGCCTTCCTGTCTGTCACTTTCAACCAGTACTGAGAGGACGACTTCGACAGAGACCTCCCCACTGTGAGTCGTCTTCGTTGTGTGTGTGTACGTGTGTGCGTGCGCGTGTGCGTGTACGTGTGCGTGCGTGTGTGCGTGCACATGTGCGTGGGCGTGTGCGTGCGCGTGTGTATGAAGTATATTAAGCCACCCAGTGGTGAGCAGCAGCAGCAGGGGCAGTGCTGCAGGATCAAAAGGAATGGGTGCAGTGCGATTGCAGCAGCAGCAGGGCCAGTACGATTGCAGCTTGACTCTTGATTCTTGTCTGTCCTCCATCCTCCCTTCTCTTCTCCTTCCCTGTTCCCCTTTCTCTCCCAGTGAGAAAGGGCGAGGCCAGATCTCTTTCTCGCTCTCCTCGTCCCTTCTGTTTGTTCAGGCGAACATACCAGAGGGGGCAATCCTGCGGGACCAAAAGGAATGGGTGCAGTGCGATAAGTGCGAGCAGTAGCAGTGAGACTTGTCTCCGCTCTCTTGTCCCTCTTCCTCCTCCCTTCCGTTTGTTCAGGCGAACATCCCAGAGGGGACAATCCTGCAGGACCACAAAGAGTGCGAGAAGTGCGAGCAATGACAGGGGGACTGCAGCTTGACGCTTTCTTTCTTGTCCTTCCTTTCTCCTCTCCTTCTCCTCCCTTACTCTTGTTCAGGCGAACATACCAGAGGGGGCAATCCTGCAGGACCACAAAGAGTGGGTGCAATGCGAGAAGTGCGAGCAGTGGCACATTCTGCCGCCCCATGTCACCATGGAGTCGCTGCCAGTGAACTGGTATGAGCGGTGCTGAAGGGTGCTGAGGGGTGCTGATGGATGATGTGGGGTGCTGTGGGATGATGCTGGGTGCTGAGGGGTGATGTGGGTTGGTATTGTTAGTTTTAAAGAGCGGTTGTGGCTGCGCGCAGTGCCAGCACTTGGTATTCTTCCACCCCATGCGGACTGAAGGATGCTTCACGGGAGTCTCTTTTGAAAATTCTCAAAAGTGACTCCCATAAAAAGTGTGTGTCGCTGTGCGCAGTGTTAGCACATGGGATTATTCCCCCCCATCTGTCCGAGCTCTCTTCTGAAATCTTCCTTTTGAGAATCGCTTTTGCGAATACTCAGAACCAGCTGGCACATGGTATTTGACCACTCCACCCCATGTGGTCTTGAAAATGCTGCCAGAGAGAGACCTGGTAGGAGGGAAGGTGATGATGGGATGGGAGGAAGGGTGCAATGTGTGCTTGCTCTCTCTCTCTGCCTGCCATTGAATGCATGCCTCTTGTTGACTTCTGTTGACTCCTGTTGTCTCTTGTTAACTATTCTTCCCATGTTCTGCTACATGGATTCCATATGATACGAGGGACGTGCTGACAGCCGTTTACCTATATACATCCTCTTTTCTTGACTCTGGTTCAATCCTGTTGACTCTTGTAACTTACTTCCCAGGTTTTGCTACATGGACCCTATACGAGGCAAGTGCAACGACCCCAATTATGTTGAACCAGCTCCTAACGAGGTCACCCTTGGGATCTCCAGACACTACAATGACTTCCCTGGTGCTGCTGCTGGCGGTGCTGGTGCTGGCGGTGCTGGTGCCGCTGCTTCTGCTGCTGCTTCTGCTGCTGGTGCTGCTGGTGCCGCCGCGGGTGCTGCTGCCGGTGCTGCTGCAGGCGCTGCTGCTACGCTGGATGCTGGTGGGCGCACCTTGACTGGTGCTGCTTCAGATGCTGACAGCAACTGCGTCCCTGTTACGCCTAGAAGCAGTGCTGCAGCAAGAGGCACAGCAGGAGCTGCAGCAGATGGAAGAACGGGAGAAACGGCAGGAGCAGCAGGAGCGTCAAGAAGGTCAGGAGAAACAGCAGCAGAGGGAGCAGCGGGAGGAGGAGCAGGAGCAGGCAGAGCAGGAGCGGCTGCTGCGGCAGCAGGAAGAGGAGGAGGTGAAGCAGGAGAAGCAGGAGGTGGGCTCAGAATGAAGCCACCAATGGGAAAGCAGAAAGCTGTTGCTCGGAAGTCCTCACCTGCTGCTGAAGCAAAGGGCAGAGGGACGAGTTCTGAGGGCCCTAAAAAAACATTTGCTGTCAAGTCTTCCCCTGCCGCTGCAGCCAAGGGCAAAGGGACGACGAGCGAGGGTAAACGAGTGAGCGAGAGGGAGAGAGGGAGAGCGAGTGAGCAGAGGGTGAACGAAGGGAGGAGAGAGGGTGAGGGGGCGGGTGCTGCCATGAGCCGAAGAATAGGTGAAGGTGCACATGGTCCTGTTGCTGGGCCAAGTAGGGTTGAACCTAGTTTTGAGTCGACTCAAATAACGGGTGCTGCCATGAGTCGAAGAATGGGTGAAGGCGCATATAGTGCTGCTGCTGGGCCAAGCAGGGTTGGAGCTAGAGAGGCGAGTGGGGGAGTGGGGGCAGGGGGGGCAGGGGAGGGACGAGGGGGAGGGGTCGGGGAGCAAGGGGGAGCAAGATTGGGGAGAGGAAGTGGGCTGGGAGGAGCCGGGGCAGCAGGTTTGGATGAGAGCAAGAAGAGGAAGCTGGGAGGGGGCAGTGGCATGGCAGGTGGCAGTGGTGTGCCTGAGAGGGGTGGGACAGGTGGCAGTAGCACACATGTGAGGGTGAAGGAAGAACCTGGGGAGCATGTGGGAGCAGCAGTGGGGGTAGAGAGACATGATAGGACAGGCAGGGAGCATGGGGAGAGGAGACACGAGGGACTGGAGCGTGAGCGATCAGGGCTAGGAGTGGAGCGACGGGGAGCAGGGCATGCAAATCGGGGAGAAGAGCGGCCAGATAGCGGACTAAGAAGAGGCGGGGAAAGACACGATAATGCAGGAACTGGCGCAGGAGTGGAGAGGAGGGATAGCAGGGTAGGGGGTAGGGTGGAGAGGAGTGGAGCAGGGTCATCCTCAGCATTGCAGCATGCTATTGCTGCTGCCGCTGCTGGTCCTTCTGGTGATCGAAGAATTGCTGCTTCTGCCACTGCTGCTGCTGCTGCTGCAGAGAGGGAGGAGGGGGAGGAGGTGGACAGCAGTGAAGAGAGTGAGGAAGATGCGGTGACGTGGCATCACCGGCCGGCAAAGAGACGTGCGATCATGGATGATGATGATGATGATGATGAACTTGAGGATGGAGAGGTGTGACATCCTAGTTGTGTTGTTTGTACTGTAGCAATGATGGTTATGTAGATGTTTCTTCTTTAGGAGTTGGTCTGTTGTATGTAATCATTCAAACCTGAAGCTTTGCTTATCACAACTGGTTATATCAATGTAAAGAATGTGAGGGAAGAGGGAACATGCAAAAGATGCAATTACAAGAAGCACGTTGCTTCTATGTTTATGCTATTTCACTTGTCAAAAGGCTTCAACTACGCTGATTACAACGGAGTCTTCCACATTCGAAACCGTGCTGGCTGTAGGCTGTGTGGAGATCCCAGAGCAGTGGAGAATATTCGGACGAGTTAGATTCAGCCAGGTGGCAATCATGTAGTCCATAGACGGTTCGATTATGGGCGACTGCAAAGCAGGTGCAGCAGGTCGTCGTTTTCATCGCCTTTCCGAGAGAATTACTGTAGAACCATGTTTGCTGATTCCTTTTTACTTGCGTGGCTTCAAATTACTCGAGTGGCCACCAGAATTGGTAAAAATTACTCGAGTGGTCACGCCAGGGGATTCCCGCACGTTTGTTTTTTCCAGCACATTACCCTACGGGGGTTTGTAGCCCCGAAAGTTTTGAAATGATTATTGCGCGATTTTCATTATCCGAAATTTATGTTCGTGACATTATATGACCGCGCCTGATTGGACGCGCATTGCCAAGAAAGGCAAAAAGCGTGCGGGAATCCCCTGGCGTGGCCACTCGAGTAATTATCACCAAACTTGGTGGCCACTCGAGTAACTCAAAGCCACGCGAGCAGGGACGAATCACCGAACAGGGTTCTGGAGAAATTCTCTCCGTCTTTCCACTCTCGTGCGACGCGTGCGGAATAGAGTTGCGACTTGACCAGCCGTTTTATTGGCTGGGCGGAAGGCTTGCCTGCAGTCTTCCGCCTATCCAATCGGCGCAGGCCGTAGTAGACACGAGAACAATCCACCACCACTGGCTCGTTCAGTCACGGCAACTCAATGAGAACAGAAACTAGAGCGGTAAAGTACGATTCCTCACTTTTCCGTGGCTGACATCAGTATACAGTAAGGTTCCGCCAACCTTGTTACGGTTCTGCCATGTTCCCCGCACCCTTTTCTCCCCAACCCGACAGACACCCACTTCCCCCCGTCGCATTGCGCAATGCATGGCTCTCCCGCCTTGTATCCAACGGGATTGCCTTCTGCATGCTCTGAGATTGTGAGTAGAATATCTGTTCAGCCATTTCCCATTCCTCCAGAACTTTAGCCCATAATCGTCGATTCTCGCTTGCGATTTCCAGCAAATCACTGACGACTGGTGCTGTGAATACACGGCGTAGATTCTTCCTCGGAACGTTCGCCCGTTTTAGACTCCGAGCGACGCTCGCTCAATCCTCTTGAGTGAAATTCCGGCTTCCACCTTCTGTCGGTTCCTGAAGTTTCTTCGAACGCAGCGTATTCTGGCTGACGCTTTCCCCGAGTTCTACTGGATCGTGAAGGATTTCTTCGCCGCTTTTAATCGACGTCCCTTGTTCCGCAAATTCTCCAGTACCTGCTGGTTGAATCTTTTAGCATTGAACGGAAGTCAGTGGCGGCGCGATGGCGGAGAATGAGTGGCTATCGGGTTATTTGGACGCGATTCTAGAGCGCGGAGGCGCGCCGATGGACACTGACAAGAAGGAACGGCTGGATCTATCGGAGATCAAGGGTCAGAGCGGCACAGCCGTCCGATACTTTGTGAATGAGATCAAGGATTCGAGCGAGGAGGAATTGCATCGCACGTGGATGAAGGTATCGCACATGAGCGATGGAAGTGTCGCACAAGAGCGGTGAAGATGTCGCACATGTTTAATGGAAGCGTCGCGACTCGAAATTGTCGCACGCGGATATGTGTCTCGCATGGGTGAACACATCGCATATGTAGGCATGCACTTGAGGGCGTGTCGCACACAATCGTTTTGCACAATGTCTTAATGCGTTCTTTGCTTTGATCCGTGATCTGCACAGGCGACAGCGATGAGCGACGAAAAAGGGTCCCGAATGGAGAATTTCACGTGGCGAATCTGGCACCTGTCACGGAAAAAGAAGCAGGTATGCAGCGCATACCGACTGTAATGTTTAGGTATTTGTTGGGAAACAAAGAATAATCATAGAATGCGTCTTCTATCCTGGAAAAGCATCTTCGTGTCATCGCTGTTTTGTCTTTCTGGCACTTCGTAGCCTTGCGATTCCCCACATCTTTCCTTAATCTCCTGATTTCTTACATCAGCCAGTATTCTTTTATGCCCCCCAATCATCTCCCTTTTACACCAGCCAGTATCCCAAACCCCCCCACCTCCAAACCTTCCCAAATTCTCCCCCAACAATGCCCGAAATCTATAACGATCTCTGCCTTCCATGGCGCTTCTTGCCTCAGTTGGAGCAGGAAGCTTCGCGGATAGAGGAGGAGCAGCAGCAGCACGACAAGGAGGAGGCTGAGCTGGACATAGAGGAGGAAGAGGACACCCCCGACTCCACCCTCCCGGACTCCCTCTCTCTGCTTCATGAGGACAGAGCCAACACCGAATCGTATTCCCCTCATTCTCTCCAAGAACATGTCCTTCTCAAATTCCTTTTCCTCCGGGACCTTCTGCCGCCCGTGCAGTTGGAGCAGGAAGCGTCGCGGATCAAGGAGCAGCAGCAGCACGACAAGGAGGAGGCTGAGCTAGACATAGAGGAGGAGGACGGCCCTGATGACGACGCCCTCCCGGACGCTTTATCCGGTGCTGACGTGGCTGCTGACGTGGACAAGGCCGGGGATGACCTGCTGGATTCCAGTGCCAACGTGGCGGCAGCTCAGGCTGCGGCAGCAAAGGCTGCAGCGGAGAAGGAGTCCCGGGGGAGGAGGGAGAACCAGCAGCAGGGGGAGAGGCAGAGGGAGGTGCCTGCTGGTGCAGGGTTGACTGCTGAGGCGCCTGGGAGGGACCCGCTTGAGCATGGCACGGAGAAGAGGCTCTATATTGTCATGATCAGGTGAGCCTTGGGATTGCCGTGACTGGGTGAGCTTTGGGGTTGCCGTGACTAGGTGAGTGTATGGGTTTTTTAACCAGATGGGTTGCTGAGGCGCTCGGGAGGGATCCGCTTGAGCATGGCACGGAGAAGAGGCTCTATATTGTCATGATCAGGTGAGCCTTGGGATTGCCGTGGCTAGGTGAACCTTGGGATTGCCATGATCAGGTTAGCCTTGAGAATGGCATGATTTGGCAGGCCTTGGAATTGTCGTGATCGGGTGAGCCTTGGGATTGTCATGATCAGGTGAGCCTTGGCATTTTCATGATCAGGTGAGCCTTGGCATTGTCGTGATCAGATGAGCCTTGGGATTGTCGTGATCAGATAAGCCTTGGGATTGTCGTGATCAGATGACCCTTGGGATTGTCATGATCAGGTGAGCATTGGCATTGTCATGATCAGATGAGCCTTGGGATTGTCGTGATTCGATGAGCCTTGGGATTGTCATGATCATGTGAGGCTTGGGATTGTCACGATCATTGTCATGACAAATGTTACAAGTGCTTCGCCACACGAACAGACGAGGTACATCCACACCTCACCAGCAACCACATAGAAGGATCATTGCTTGCAATCGCAACGAAACGAAGGTGCGGGTGCAAATCAATGAAGTTTTCTTGCATGCGTTCATTCGATCAACGCATTGTGCATGCGCATGCGCGTTGTGTTCGTTTCCCTGCTGCCCCATGCAGCATCCATGGGTTGGTGCGTGGAGAGAACATGGAGCTGGGCCGAGACTCGGACACGGGCGGCCAGGTATGCAACTGTCCCGTGTGCTGCCCTCGCATGTGCTGCCCTCACGTGTGCTGCCCTCACGTGTGCTGCCTGCCCCTGCATTCTGCCCTTCCTTTCTACTTTGATTAGAGGCAGATTGTTGCACGGGTGGGAATTTTTTTCGCTGTGTATCACACCCTTGTTCCCTGCCGTCTTATCGTCGCGTGGTATTCTTTCCTTCTTCCCCTCGACCTACTCCTTTCTTCCTTCCCCCCCACTGCTTGCAGGTGAAATACGTGGTGGAGATCGCGAGAGCCCTGGCGTCCATGCCTCAAGTGTACCGTGTGGATCTGCTCACACGCCAGATCGTTGCTCCTGGGGTAAGTGGTTGTGAGTGGTGGTGAGCGGTGCTGAGTGGTGTTAAAGAGGTGGAGAGTGGTGCGGGTGGGTTTGGAGCTGCTCGTTAGGAAAGAGGGAACACCCTGGCGTACATGCCAAAGGTGTGTGTGTGTGTGTGCGCTGCGTGGATCTGCTTACCCACCAAAATCCTCGCTGCACTACGACTCGGATGAGCTGATAGTGGCTGCGAGCGCGGGCTGGCTCTTGGCCCACTGACGGAACCCTTGCCAACCGCACCCAACCACTCCCCCTCCCTTCCTGCTTCCCAGGTGGACTGGTCGTATGGAGAACCCTCAGTAATGATCATCTCCCTGCACTACGATCCGGACGGGCTGATAGCGGGGGAGAGCGTGGCCGCCTACATCATCCTGTCCTTAGCTCACTATATGAACCCTTGCCAACCGCACCCAACCACTTCCCAGGTGGACTGGTCGTATGAAGAACCATCCGAAATGATCAGCTCCCTGCGCTACGATCCGGACGGGCTGATAGCGGGGGAGAGCGTGGGCGCCTACATCATCCGCCTGTCGTGCGGCCCACTAACTGAACTCTTGCCAACCGTACTCAACCGCACACACGCCCTCTCCCCTCATTCCCTGGTACTCAGGTGGACTGGTCATACGGAGAGCCCTCAGAGATGCTCAGCTCCCTCCGCTACGACCCCGACGGGCTGATAGCGGGGGAGAGCGCGGGCGCGTACATCATCCGCCTTTCGTGCGGCCTGCGCGACCAGCACCTGCGCAAGGAGGCGCTGTGGCTGCCCCTTGGCCCACTCACTGAACCCCTGCCTACCGCACTCAACCGCATACACACGCCCCTCTCCTCTTCTCCCTGCTCCTGTTTCCCCATTCTCCCTGTGCTTTAGGTCGATTGGTCATACGGCGAGCCCTCAGAGATGCTGAGCTCTCTCCGCTACGACCCGGATGGGCCCAAGTGGGGGAGAGCGCGGGGGCTTACATCATCCGCCTACCCTGCGGCCCGCGAGACCAGTACCTGCGCAAGGAGGCGCTCTGGCCCCACGCCCACCAGTTTCTCTTTTTGCCGGCCCTTGGTTCAACCACTGACTTAACCCCTGCCAACCGCACTCAGCCGCACCCACACGCCCCTCCTCCCATCTCCCCCATTTCCTGTTTCTCCCCACGATTTTAGGTCGATTGGTCGTACGGAGAACCCTCAGAGATGCTGAGCTCTCTCCGCTATGACCCGGACGGGCTGATAGCGGGGGAGAGCGTGGGCGCGTACATTATCCGCCTGCCGTGCGGGCCACGAGACCAGTACCTGCGCAAGGAGGCGCTGTGGCCGTACGTGGACGAGTTTGTGGACGGGGCTCTCACGCACATCATGCACATGTCCAGGGAGCTGGCGGATCAGATCGGGGATGGACAGCGCGTGTGGCCGTATATGATCCACGGGCACTATGCCGATGCTGGGGACATAGCAGCACTGCTCTCAGGTGGGTGCTTCTGTGCAATCGTGTTTGTCATGCCTCCTGCGTTTCTCTGTCCAGGTGCACTGGACGTGCCCATGGTCCTTACTGGCTACTCCCTTCCGAACTAATCAGAGCAGCTGCTGAAGCAGCACCCCCTCCCATTCTCCCCTCCTCTCCTCCTCGCCCCCCGGCCCAACCTGTCCAGGTGCACTGAACGTCTCCATGGTCCTAACCGGGGGCACTCTCTGGGGCGCAACAAGCTGGAGCAGCTGCTGAAACAGGGCCGCATGACTCGCGCCGAGATCAACACACAGTACGCCATCGACCGGCGCATCGAAGCCGAGGAATTCTCCCTGTACGCAGGAGATCTGGTGGTCTCGATTCCCCTGCCTCCATTCCCCAACCCCCTTCCTTTCTCCGCTCCCCTGCCATTCCCTCTCCTCTGATGTGTCCAGGTGCACTGAACGTCCCCATGGTCCTAACTGGTCATTCCCTGGGCCGAAACAAGCTGGAGCAGCTGCTGAAGCAGGGGCGCATGAGCCGCTCAGAGATCAACACCCAGTACGCCATCGACCGGCGCATCGAAGTTGAGGAGTTCTCTCTCGATGCGGCAGAGCTGGTGGTGGCATTTCCCCAGCTTCCATTCCCAAAACGCCCTTCCTTTCTCCCTTCCCCTGCCATTCCCTCTGGTCTGTCCAGGTGCACTGAACGTGCCCATGGTGTTAACAGGCCACTCTCTGGGCCGAAACAAGCTGGAGCAGCTGCTGAAGCAGGGCCGCATGAGCCGCGCCGAGATCAACACGCAGTACGCCATCGACCGGCGCATCGAAGCGGAGGAATTTTCTCTCGACGCAGCAGAGCTGGTGGTGACGAGCACGCGGCAGGAGGTGGAGGAGCAGTGGGGGCTGTACGATGGCTTTGATGTGCGCCTGGAGAGGGTGCTGCGCGCCCGGCAGCTCCGAGGGGTCAGCTGCCACGGCCGCTTCATGCCGCGCATGGCGGTGAGTACACATGAGCGCACGGGTTACAGGGGGTTAAGGGTTTAAGGGGTAAAAGTGGAGGAGGTGGAGGAGCAGTGGGGGCTGTATGATGGCTTTGACGTGCGCCTGGAGAGGGTGCTGCGCGCCCGGCAGTTAAGGGGAGTCAGCTGCCACGGCCGCTTCATGCCCCACATGGCGGTGAGTATGGGAATACAGGGTTTCGGGTTTTTGTCAGGAGATTGAGAAAAGGGAGGAGGAGGAGGAGGAGGAGGAGGAGGAGGAGGAGGAGGAGGAGGAGGAGGAGGAGGAGGAGGAGGAGGAGGAGGAGGAGGAGGAGGAGGAGAAGGAGGAGGAGGAGGAGGTTAGGAGTGGGGAAAAGGTGATACTCGGGGGGCTAAGGGTTCTGAACCTTACACCCTCTCCCACCACCCCCACTGCCGTAACAGTTCCCCGTGCAACAGTGACACGGATGGAGAGGTGGAGTACATACAATGGGGAGGAACTGTTGGGCAGTGGGGGTGGTGGGAGAGGGTGTAGGGTTCAAAACCCCTAGCCCTGAGTACTAAACTATTCCCTTTCATCCCTTAAAATGCGGTCATCCCTGTCATAGCTCCCAGCTATTCGAACCTTGCTTCACCCCTTCCTTCAATCACCCCCCATCCGCTCCGTCCCATTCCTGTTCCTCCCCACCCCCTTTATCCATCAGGTCATCCCCCCAGGAATGGATTTCTCCAATGTGGTCGTCCCAGACATCGACGGCTCTGATTCGCCCGGGCCTGAGCCTCCCATCTGGGCCGAGGTAGTTAACAATTTTTCTGTAGGACATTTCTTCATTGTAGCGTCATGACGTTTAAGATGAGTCATAGGAGGTATGGAAGAACGACTCGTGTTTGTAGCACATCTTGTTGTACTTGAGCCAATGTTTGTGATCGTCACGCTCCAACCAAAGTTGTGATGATCGTCTTTCGTAGACGGTCCTTGCGTCCAATTCCTAGAAAAGTCCATTCCTTTGTCCAACCCGCACAAACCCATCCCCTGGCTCTCGCACTCCTCACCTCACCCCCTTTCCTTGTTCCCCCTTCTCTTTCCGCACATCTATGCACCTGTTTTCTCATTTCCTTTGTTCTTCATATTCAGAACCCCGGATGCGGTGCGTTCATCTCCGTGCGAACTGAGATAACGTAATCGCTTATTGCACTGAAGGAATATGTGAATTCGCATATTCCTTTAGTGCAATAAGCGAATAAGTTATCTCGATTCTCACTGAGATGAACGCATCACGTCGTGAGCTTCTAATATGAAGTCAAAAATAGGTGCTTGTGCGGGTTAAACAAAAGATTATCTTTCCTCTCCCCCCAACTCTTCCCCCCCCCCCCATCCCCTCAACTCTCCCCCAGGTTCGCAAGTTCTGGTCCAACCTGCACAAGCCCAACATCCTGGTCCTCTCTGCTTCACTCCCTGTTCCATGTGTGTTCCCCTCCTTTCCCCCCCCCATCTATCCCCCTCTCCCCTCCTGCCGTCCCTCCCCTTACCAGGTGCGCAAGTTCTGGTCCAACCCCCACAAGCCCATCATCCAGGCCCTTTCCTCCCCTCCCGCATTTCCCTGTCTAATTTCCCCTCCTTTTCTACCTCTCCCCTGTTGCTTCATCTTCTCCCCTTCTCCAGGTGCGCAAGTTCTGGTCCAACCTGCACAAGCCCATCATACTGGCCCTGGCCCGCCCCACCTGCCCCTCCTCCCTTGTTCCACCTTCCCACCCCCTCACATGTGTTCCTCCCCCGTTCGCTCTCCCCCTTCTCCCCCTCCACAGGTGCGCAAGTTCTGGTCCAACCCGCACAAGCCCATCATCCTCGCCCTGGCTCGTCCCGACCCCAAGAAGAATCTCACCACGCTTGTGCGCGCCTTTGGGGAGAGCCAGGCTTTAAGGGACCTCGCCAACCTGGTGAGTGGGGGAATTTCGTGAGATGCACAAGAGAGTCATGTGGTTTGGTTCTCCCCTTACCCACTTGTGAGAGGCCCGACTGTTGATAAGTTTGTTTTTGAGGCGCCTCAAAAATCGACTACTGATAACTTTATCTTGGAGCCCCACGAAGAATTTTGCACGGGCTAGCTGAGAGAGTCCTGGCAAGTTTGGCGAGTCCGAGGGAACAAGACATGTGTGTCGCTTGCTATGTGGCGACTCTGAAATCGGCATGTCTCGTGATGTACAAGAGTCTCCCGTATTGCAAGGGATGATGTTCTTATGTTTACCCTCCACAACAACCCCTCCCATCCCCACCTCAGAGGGTCCTTTGTATTGATGCTGTGGAGGGTAGAGGCATGCATAGAGGCATGCATGTCTAAAAGGTAAAGCAACGACAATCCCCTAACCCCATCTCTCTCTTCCCCCTCCCCACTCTGCGCTGCAGTGCCTGGTGATGGGCAATCGAGACGACATTGACGCCATGAGTGCGGGCAACGCTGAGGTGCTGACGACAGTGCTGAAGCTGATAGACAAGTACGACCTGTACGGGCAGGTGGCCTACCCCAAGCACCACAAGCAGGCTGAAGTGCCCGACATATACGCCCTCGCTGCCAAGTCCAAGGTGAGGGGAGGCAGGTGGTGGGTGTGCTGTGTTAAGTCAGCTGTGGTGTAGTGTGGTGCGGTGCATCATGGCGTGGTGCTAGGGGGTGCTGACAGCGGGTGCTGAAGCTGATAGACAAGTACGACCTGTACGGTCAGGTGCCCTACCCAAGCACCACAAGCAGGCTGAAGTTCCCGACATCTATGCGCTTGTTACTAAATCTAAGGTGAGCAGAACAGGGATCCAGGCCCGTGGTAGGTGCGCTGTGGTTGCTGTGTGGTGTGGTGCATGGTGCAGTGCCGTGTGGTGCGGTATGTTGTAGTGTGTCTGTCAACATCGTAAGGGGTCACGTCACAGGGTAGGGTGTGTAAGGGGTCACGTCACAGGGTAGGGTGTGTAAGGGGTCACTGCAAGCAGGCTGAAGTGCCGGGCTGTTTTTGAGACGTCTCAAAAACAACCTCGCTTCACGTGTGTAAGGGGTCACCGCAAGCAGGCTGAATTGCCGGGCATCTATGCCGTCGCTGCCAAGTCAAGGTGAGGAGAACAGGGACAGATGTCAAGGACTTAGATATTCTCCACACCTACCTCGATCCAGGCAGGTGGTAGTTGTGCTGTGGTGTTGTCAAGTGTGGGTGCTGTGTCCCCTCCTCCTGTTTCTCCTCTTTGGGGTGCGTTTGTGAACCCAGCACTCGTGGACTCCCGGTGTGATGTCTCAACCAGCTGACCTTTGTCATCCAAGCCTCTGCAACCCTCTTTTCCCGCCTCTCCTCTCCAGGGCGTGTTTGTGAACCCAGCGCTAGTGGAGCCATTCGGCCTCACGCTCATCGAGGTACGGCCTCATATTCTGATGCTGATTCTGTAACTTCAAACCTGAATTTTGATTATGATCATCGCAATCTCATTCCTTTGGCCTCTTTCCTTTGGTTGCTTTTGTGTTAGGCAACCGCTCACATGCAATGCAATGCAACATAAAGATAGCGTTTGATTTAAAACTGAAGGGGCAGATGGTATTCTCTCCCTGTCGGCCTTCCCGTTTCCATGGGGCCATCTCTGTTCCATCCCCTTCTCTCTTTCATCCTCCCACTCCCCTGCCGTCTCCCACTCGCCCTCCCCTCGCCATTCCAACCCCTGCCTTCCATCCCCTTCTTCTCATCTCATGCCTTTCTCCATTCGCCATATTTGCCCTCTTCCACACATCACAGGCAGCAGCGCACGGCCTCCCCATGGTGGCTACAAAGAACGGAGGCCCAGTTGACATCCAGAAGGTGAGTGCTTTCTGGGTACCCAGTGAAAAATACTATCACCTGGTTACCAGGTGTTCTTCTGTGCATCTCTCTAGCCCGCTTGGCTTCAAGAGCACGGCATGCCTGCCCATGATGCCCCAATATGCGCTTCTGAGATTTCTCAAAACGTGCTTTCAGCACCAAGGCCTGATATAGAAATCCCCTAATCCTCATGATCTTCCCTACCCCTCCCACCTTTCCCTCCCCCTCTGCTCTTATCTTCTCCCTCCCTGGCTCAGATGCTGAGCAACGGGCCGGTGGTATATCCGCTCCGCGTGGTTTTTGAGGCGCCTCAAAAATCACCTCACTGCAGTGCAGGCCTGCATGATCCCAGCTGTAGCAACGGGCCGGTGGTACATCCGCTTCGCATGATGCCAACACCCTGGGGTCCACTCACGTTGCTACAGCTGGTGGCGAAGAAAAGAGCTCATTTGCTGCACTACTATTGTTAATATGCCTCCTCCGCTCTCCGCCCCGCACTCCTCCCCATCTCCCCTCCTTCAGATGCTGAGCTACGGGCTGGTGGTGGATCCACACGATGCCAACGCCCTGGTGGGGGGATGAAGTGGGCGCTTCTGCTGTCCTTGCATTCTCACTCTGCCACGTTCTCCTGTTCCTGTTCCTTGCATTCTCGCAATCTGTTCAGATGCTGAGCAACGGGCTGGTGGTGGACCCTCACGATGCCAGTGCACTTTCATCCGCGTTGCTACAGCTGGTGGCGGACAGGGCGCTGTGGACAGATTGCCGCAAGTCAGCTCTGGCCAACATTCACAAGTACTCCTGGCCGCAGGTGGGTGCAAATGGGTGTAGGTGGGTGGTCTGGCCGCAGGTGGGTGGTCTGGCCGCAGGTGGGTGCATGGTCGGTTATGTAGGCGCATCAACAGAGTTTCCCAGGCGCTGCTACAGCTGGTGGCGGATGGGGCGCTGTGGACCGATTGCCGCAATCTGCTCTCGCCAACATCCACAGGTTTTCGTGGCTGCAGGTGGGTTGTCTGGACGCTCTGTTTCGTAGGCACGTCAGGTGAGTTACTCAGGCGTTGCTGCAGCTGGTGGTGGGCAGAGCCTTTGGACTGATTGCCACAAGTCAGCACTGGCCAACATTCAGAAGTACTCTTGGCCGCAGGTGGGTGGAAGTGGGTGTGTGGTGGTGTTTGCTGGTGGGTGTATGTCTCTCAGGTGTATCATCACTCCCCTTCTCCCTTTCCCCCTTTCCTTCCCGCTTCTCCTCCCCTACCTCCCCCAACTCGACTCTCCGAATTTCATCTTTCTTCCCTTCTGCTCCACTTCACCCCTCGCCCCTTCCCCTCTCACCCCCCTCTTTTCCTACCCCTCCTCCCAAGCAGCACTGCGCCTCACTCCTGACCCCGTGTGGCCCAGTCGCGTCTGCGCCACCCAGTGTGGAGGGCAGCAGCACTCTTCGACCAGGTCGCTGCCTCTGCTACCCGAGCAATCCACATCTCCTCTTCCCCTTCACCCCTTGCCCCTTATTTCCAACAGCACTGCGCGTCACTCCTCACCCGAGTCGCCCAGTCGCGTCTGCGCCACCCAGTGTGGAGGGCAGCAGCACTCTTCGACCAGGTCGCTGCTGCCGCCTCTTCAGTCACCACTACCGGCCTCCAATCCCTATGACTTGTCCTCTTCCACTTCTCCATTTCCCCCTCCCCACCACCCTCTACAGCACTGCGCCTCTCTGTTAACCCGAGTGGCCCAGTCGCGTCTGCGCCACCCAGTGTGGAGGGCAGCAGCACTCTTCGATCAGGTCGCAGCCGCCACCTCCTCCACCCACCCCTCCACCGGCCTGCACTCCGAATCCCTCCGGGACATTCAAGACCTCTCCCTGCGCCTCTCCTTCGACGGCAAGTTCTGGGGCGGAGGGTCCTTCCAAGGAGGCTCTATGGATCTCTCTTTCATGCTTGATAACCTCGGGGTTATCCGGCCCGACGGCCGGTCCGCTAGTGGTTACGCGGCTGAGCCTTCTCATGCTGCTGCTGGTGGTGGTTTTGGTGGTTCTGGTGGTCTTGGTGGGGGGGAGGGGCTGGGAGAAGGAGCAGCGTTGGGGATTCACAACAGGCTGGGGAATTACTCGTTTACTGGGGGTATGGGGTCAGAGAGTGTTGGGCGGTACCGAGAAGGGGTGGGCGGGTCGGGGCGGCTGCAGGGGATGCAGGAGGAAGGGGAGGACGGAGGAGCAGGAGGAGCAGGAGCAGGGGAGAAAGGGTCAGCAGCAGGAGCAGCAGCAGCAGCGGCTTTCGAGGGACTCCGGCTGAGAAGGAGGCGGCGGCTGATCGTGGTTGCTGTGGATGAATACGACCCTGTTGGGCGGCCGGGTTCGTCTGTTCTGGACTCTCTGTGCGCCGCCCTGGAGGTGGCATACCGGCACAACACGGGAACGTTAAGGGAGCGCGTTGTATGGGGTATGGGGCCGGGCGGGGAGATTGGTGTGGTGCTGGCGACGGCACTGACAGCCAGAGAGACGGTGGCAATGCTGACAGCAGCAGGAGTGGGGCTGAGGCAGCTTGATGCGTTGATAGCAGGGGGAGGGAGCGAGGTGTACTACTCTGTACCGTGCTCCACCGCATCGGAACTTGGAGCAGCAGCAGCTGGGGGAACTGGAGCGGGAGCAGGAGCGGGAGCGGCAGCAGGAATGGCAGCAGGTCTGGTATCAGCCATGGCTCCTCTGGAGGATCGGGAAGGCTGGCAGTTGCTTCCCGATCCGGACTACTTCGCGCATATTGAATACCGGTGGAGCGCTGACGGTGTGCGCCGGTCCATGGGACGAATCCTGGCGCACGCTATAAAGGGTACAGCATCGGGTGGGGCTGCCAGTGCTGCCACCACTCCTGTGGCAGGCTCTGGCGGTGTTTTCCCTCCTCCTGCCGCTGCTCTCTCTGCTGCTGCTGCTGCTGCTGCTGGGAATGGTGCTGCAGCTGCTGCCGGTAACGGGGCTGCTACTAACGAGGAGGAGTATGTCCGCTCAATCTCCTTCTCAGACGGGCTGACAGCAATCGCCTCTGAGCCTGCAGCTCCCTCCACCCACTCAGGCATCCCTGGGAGCAAGAGCGTGACTGGCAGCAGGCTGGGGGGTGCAGGGGCGGGATCGAGAGGGGTGAGGGGGGCGGTGGGGAGCGGGCTGCTGCTGCAGCAGCAGCAGCTGCTGGCGGTGCAGCGCGTGTGTGTGGAGGATGAGATGAGAACCACGTCCCGGCGGCTGGCTTACCGAGTGCTTGACATCGCTCAGGTAGGAGCTACTCGTGTAAGGGCTTGGTGGCGTCAATGGAACGTGTTCAGGAGAGAGTTTCAAGAGTGAAAAGTGGACGCAGGTGGTCACTGATGAGTATCAAGAGAAGCGTTTATTCCCATCTTTTCCTACACTAGTTTCACTGGTGAAGGTCGCATTCTCTTTCAATGACGTGTGAAGTATGGCATGGCTCTGATGTGTGAAGTATGGCATGGCTCTGATGTGTGAAGTATGGCATGGCTCTGATGTGTGAAGTATGGCATGGCTCTGATGTGTGAAGTATGGCATGGCTCTGATGTGTGAAGTATGGCATGGCTCTGATGTGTGAAGTATGGCATGGCTCTGATGTGTGAAGTATGGCATGGCTCTGATGTGTGAAGTATGGCATGGCTCTGATGTGTGAAGTATGGCATGGCTCTGATGTGTGAAGTATGGTATGGCTCTGATGTGTGAAGTATGGCATGGCTCTGATGTGTGAAGTATGGCATGGCTCTGATGTGTGAAGTATGGCATGGCTCTGATGTGTGAAGTATGGCATAGCTCTGATGTGTGAAGTATGGCATGGCTCTGATGTGTGAAGTATGGCATGGCTCTGATGTGTGAAGTATGGCATGGCTCTGATGTGTGAAGTATGGCATGGCTCTGATGTGTGAAGTATGGCATGGCTCTGATGTGTGAAGTATGGCATGGCTCTGATGTGTGAAGTATGGCATGGCTCTGATGTGTGAAGTATGGCATGGCTCTGATGTGTGAAGTATGGCATGGCTCTGATGTGTGAAGTATGGTATGGCTCTGATGTGGGAAGTATGGCATGGCTCTGATGTGTGAAGTATGGCATGGCTCTGATGTGTGAAGTATGGCATGGCTCTGATGTGTGAAGTATGGCATGGCTCTGATGTGTGAAGTATGGCATAGCTCTGATGTGTGAAGTATGGCATGGCTCTGATGTGTGAAGTATGGCATGGCTCTGATGTGTGAAGTATGGCATGGCTCTGATGTGTGAAGTATGGCATGGCTCTGATGTGTGAAGTATGGCATGGCTCTGATGTGTGAAGTATGGCATGGCTCTGATGTGTGAAGTATGGTATGGCTCTGATGTGTGAAGTATGGCATGGCTCTGATGTGTGAAGTATGGCATGGCTCTGATGTGTGAAGTATGGCATGGCTCTGATGTGTGAAGTATGGCATGGCTCTGATGTGTGAAGTATGGCATGGCTCTGATGTGTGAAGTATGGCATGGCTCTGATGTGTGAAGTATGGCATGGCTCTGATGTGTGAAGTATGGCATGGCTCTGATGTGTGAAGTATGGCATGGCTCTGATGTGTGAAGTATGGCATGGCTCTGATGTGTGAAGTATGGCATGGCTCTGATGTGTGAAGTATGGCATGGCTCTGATGTGTGAAGTATGGTATGGCTCTGATGTGTGAAGTATGGCATGGCTCTGATGTGTGAAGTATGGCATGGCTCTGATGTGTGAAGTATGGCATGGCTCTGATGTGTGAAGTATGGCATGGCTCTGATGTGTGAAGTATGGCATGGCTCTGATGTGTGAAGTATGGCATGGCTCTGATGTGTGAAGTATGGTATGGCTCTGATGTGTGAAGCATGGTATGGCTCTGATGTGTGAAGTATGGCATGGCTCTGATGTGTGAAGTATGGCATGGCTCTGATGTGTGAAGTATGGCATGGCTCTGATGTGTGAAGTATGGCATGGCTCTGCTTTCTCTACTCTCCTCCTACCTACCTTCCTTTGAATCCCCTGTCCCTTTTCTCTCATCCCACCTTCCCCCCCTCCTTGGTATGTCCGCGGATGCTGACAGCAGCTGAATTGCGTCTGTCTTTTGAGACGTTTCAAAGACCTCGCTTTCTCTACGCTCCCCCTTTCGACCCCCACACCGGCCCCAGATGCCCACAGCAGCTGACTTGCGGCGCCGCCTGCGCCTACGTGGCTTGAGGTGCCACGTGGGCTACTGCCGTGCCGCCACGTGTCTTCACATCCTGCCGCTCCACGCCTCTCGCTCACAGGCCCTCAGGTAATGTACTGCGTGCTTCTTGGTCCAGCACTGTGCTTATTGGTCCAGCTGGCACATCTTTTTATTGTCCCCAGTCACATCCTTTTAGATTTTGACCTCCATGACAAGCTTTCATCGCTGACTCTCTGTCTTTCTCCTTCCTCTCCCTCTCTATCCCCCTCTCTCCCTCTTTGCCCCTCTCTTTCCCACCTTCTCTTATGCTGTCCCTCTCTCTTCCAGGTACCTCTGTGTCCGCTGGGGATTGGAGCCTGCTGACCTGGCAGTCGTCGTCGGCAGTCCAGCTGGCGCTGACGGGGATTACGCGCAGCTGCTCTCCGGCATGCACCACACCCTCATTCTGGAGCCTCCCCCTGCTGACGTGGCACAGCACCAAGGAGCAGCAGCGGCAGCAGGGATGGATCCGTTTGCAGAGTACAGGAGGAAGCTGCTGCATGAGTTTGTGCCGCGCAGTGACGTGCATCTGCCCAACCTGGTGAACGTGGAGGATTCGTCAGAGGACAAAGTCAGTGCTCTCGCTGGAGCCTTGGAGAAGATAGGCTTTGCATAAGTAGATGCTGTTTTCTGCACCTTGTTGTGAATCTGCCCGTTTTGGTGAATGTGGAGGATTTATGGAGCCACTTAGTGGCAGCGCTGGCTGGTGCTCTCTGATGAAGCTAGGTTCTGCGTTCAGCTGCAGACTGCAGGGCTTGCAAGAGTTTGAACCTCTGGTTGCGTACATTCTTAATGGATAAACAGGGTTGTACGCTATCGCAAGAGGGTAAGGAAAGTCTGTATTTAGTTACTACCGGTAAGGAAAGTTCTTAGGACGTATTGGTAATACATAATACAATGCACACAACCATTCCCAACTGGTTGTATCTAGTGACGAGGATGACTTAAAATAGAAGGAAAACAGTGTCTCACACGTTGTAGAACCCTACTTGACTTTGATTGGTCTGGTGATTGGTGATTGGCGCTGGAGTAAGGGGTTTGTTATGAGTTTTATTAGACAGAGTACGCGGAAGACTTCTATAAAGAGAATGAATTACAGAATTACTGAATGATCAAGAATGATAAAGGAGCACGCATTTATAGGGTTGAAACCGTGCTAGGCGAGGACCTCGGGACGTGGATGCGTTGGAAGTGTCGCGATTGGTGCGGGGCGACTCGGAATTGGTTCGGTGCGGAATTGTAGGCCGAACCATCCTGACGCGAAGTGCTCGGGCTGTCCTCGCTAGGAGCAGCTTCTACAGTAATGAATGTATATTCATTACACTCTCCCACCTTCTAAATAAGGTGCCCTTATACGGAGCCGAGTCTTGCAGTAGCGTGAAAACTGCAGATCTCGGTTGAAAACTGATCTGACGGTGTAGAAGTCGTTAACTGTCAAGTTGACGCTTGGCTGAACGCGTTGACCAGGCGAAATTCAAAGAGTTGGAATGTCAGCCGTTGATAGTGCCGATAACGATCGGGCGGTTGAATTCGAATGTCGAGTTGAAAAGCCGTTGATGAATGAGAACCGTCGATGTGGTGGATCTCTGTCGGACGGTCAAGATGAACACGTCGTGGGCGGATATGCTGATGCGTTGTCAGAAGTCGATGAAGCAGGACCCGTCGATGTCGTTGATGTGATCGCGAGCGTCCGTCGTGCTAAATCTGTCAGACGAAATGTCAGAAAAAACTGACAAGTACAGTGCAATAGCACTTTCTCCCCCCTTTTGGAAAAGACTGCCACCAAAAAATCTCCGCGTGGCAGCACCGAATCACCCTGCTGCCGCAGTATCTTCAGTTGTCAGCTGATGCAGTCTCGAAATTGCTGCCGTTTGTCTTGTTGCAGTGTCGAAAATCCTCTCTGTAGCTTCTCCAGCTGTCGGCGCCCCTAGCAGTCTTGTCCAGACTCGCCGAGGCTTTTGTCGATATTTGCCGAGAAGTACCGGGCAGAGGCGAAAAACAGCTGTTGCTCTTCCCCCTGACCTCGCAAATATTTTTCAAAGTTGAACTCGAATTGTCGATGACGTCAGCTGCATTGTCGGTGTTGTCGTGAATCGTCGAAAACCTCCGGGCAGGGGCGAAAACAGCTGTCGCTTTCTCCCCCCACCTGTTGAAAAAATTGTCCTCGTGTTGCAGCTGGTACCCCCGAGCAGCTTCCGATTTGTACGGCTACACATTTGACGACGAGTGCCTTCGCGCGCTTAATCAAGCGACGCTGCAGTCGGCCGCCGGCACGGATACTGTCAGCGACCCCGCTGACTCCGTTAAAACTCTTTTCGGAACTGCTCGTTGCACCCGTAAATGTCGGAAATTTCCACCCCACGTAAAGTCTTGGTCGCCTGCATGTTGCCCCCCAAAAGAACCGGTGTTTCTAGCACGCCCACCCGGTCACCATTTGTTTTCGTACGGTTAACCACCCAAGCTACCCACCATCAGGAGGTGCTTTTTCAGCGTGGAACCCAGTACTTATGGGTCTTCCGAGACCGATTTTCACGGACCCTAGCTGCAGATCTCGCAGCAGAACTCCCCCAGACTGCTTCGAAGTACACCGAATAACGCTTAAAACAGTTGGCGAGCAGACGTTCACCCGTCTCCCATCGTCGAAAATGCACCCGAAAATCATGGTTGAGTAATCAAGCCCCGAAGTATTTTCTGCCTTGTAGCCCCGACATTTCCGCCGTTAACCCTGGTACTCCGACGTTCACCCATCTTCGTACTTGTCAAAAATACTTAGCAAATCCCAGGCATCCTTGGCAATACACCCCTCGCCGCGCCTCCATGTAACGATATCAAACCCTTTCGGGGGTCTACCGAATAGACCCCGAAATTCGCGATGGAGTGGTGTACGGGCTCCGCCTATCACTCAAGTAGCTTGAAACGGCACCCACAACTTTCCCTCCTTTTTTTTTTTTTGCTTTTGCCCCCCGACAATTTCGCATGCCGCCGTTCACCCAGCGTCCGCTTTTGTCGGATGAGACATTCTTCGTGTTGACCCGTGATTTTTCTAGCTTTCGATGAAGGTGCGAACGCAATCGTAGTCGGAGCAAGTTTATCATATCAAACTCTCAGCCGGCCGCTTCGCTGGCCACCGTGCCTATCGCATGTTAAAACTCCGCAGCTTCGAAAACTCCATCTTCGCTGCTACACCGCCGTTGGGTAGACCGTTGAATCAGGAGAAACACCACCAGCTGCCGCAACTTCCTCGACTCCGACATTTTTGGCAGAGTACTGTTGCCGATGGCCCGTTTTTGTCGGGGCCGAAAAAGTGTCGCTTGAAGATTTTCTTGAACGCCCTGCCGTCGAACCAGCGCCACCCACGCCTTTCTAACCAGCACAGGGCTAAAACACAGGGCCCCACCTTTTTATCCAGTAGCCAACACGACTTACGAATTGCCTTCGAGGCTTTTCTGGTGTGAGGTATGTGAAACGTCGTAAGACTTGGCCGGCAGGGAGCTCCTTCTGCTACCGCCGCTTAGCCGTGAGACTCGGCCTCAGCAAAAGTCGTCGCTGTAGGTTGTCTTCTCGCCTCCTGAAGTCGGAACCCGTTTCTCTCGCCGGACCCGCATTAGTCGCAACTCCGTTAATTGTAGCCGGTAGAACCCCCGAAATTCACGGGTCTAAACGCTGCGCCGAATCGTTGTTCCGTGGTGTACTGGGCTGTCTGCAAACACAGGTACCTCTGGCCGGAGGGAACTGTGCCGCGTGAAGTGCAGAATCGGCTGCCACTGTTGTGAAATGAGTAAGCAGGAATGAATCAACTATGAATGAAAGCAGTACAAATATGAAACCCTAACTGGGTTGTACCCCTTATGGGATACCCCACTACAGCCTACACAGCAGTATAAGCTATAGATATGTTCTGACACACCCCCATAGGCAAAGTGGGGGAGAACAAGGGGTCACAAGACCAGTCAAGCAAGACAAAGCAAAGCTCAGGGTGGATCACAAAGTCACCACACAGTCCGAGCACAAGAGCAAGGCCAAAGGCCAGTTCACAAGCAAGAGTACAGACATATATATAAAGCTAGACAAGCAAGAGCAGGTATATATATATGTCATAGTACAAGTGAAGTCAAGAGGAGAGCAAGTGAGGCAAGACAGGCACAAGACCCAGCTGGGTGCAGAAGCGCTGATGGTCACAAGGCGCAAGTGCCTTGGTGAACACATCAGCAGTGTTGGCCTCAGAGGCCACGTACGCAAGTCGCAACTGACCACGCTGCTGCAGCTCACGAGCAAGGAAGTAGCGGAGAGCAATGTGCTTCGTTCTGTGCTCCAAGCGCTGCTCTCGACACAAGGCCAGCATAGCCTTGTTGTCTACGTACAGCACTGGAGGAGAACGAGGCGGCTCTCCAAGGTCAGTCAGCAGGTAGGTGAGCCAGCGAAGCTCCTGTGCAGCCATGGCCCCGGCGTAGATCTCAGCCTCACAACTGGAGCCGAGAACCGAAGACGAGCGAGTAGACCGCCACGAGACAGAGCCGGAACCAAGGCTGAAGGTGTAACCCTGTGACGACCGCTGCGTAGCCTGGTCGTCAGCCCAAGACGCGTCCGCGTGGCCGGTAAGGACCACTGGACCCCGCCCTCCAAGCACTAGCCCCATGCCTGACGTACTGCACAGGTAGCGCAATACCCTCTTCGCTGCAGCCATGTGCTCCGGTCTGTGTCTCCCAGGAGCAACATAGCGTGCAAGAATGCTCAGAGGGTATGCAAGGTCAGGTCGTGTGCAGGTCATCAGGTACATGAGGCAGCCAACAAGCTCCGCATACGGACCACTCGACTCTACGGACTCATCCGAAGGCAGAGCTGAGAGTGAGTGGCGAGTAGGCAGAGGAGTGGCCTGAGGCGAGGAGTACGTGAAGCCGAAGCGCTGAAGGACCTGCTGCACCATGTGTGACTGAGTCAAGGTAATGGTGCGGCGTGCTCTGTCCCGAGTGATCTGCAAGCCAAGGTAGCTGCGCAGTTCACCCAGGTCTGTGCACGTGTGTCTCTTCAACAGCTCGGACTTCACGTAGGCGAGTCCAGCAGTGTCCGCTGTGGCAAAGACCAGGTCGTCGACGTACACGAGGATGTAGAACGGCGGCAGGGAAGTGTCGGTGCGAAGAAACAGCGACGGGTCAGCAGTAGAAGGAGCAAACCCAAGAGCCGCAAGCGTAGTCCTCAGTGTGTCGTGCCACTCACGCGGTGCCTGGCGGAGACCGTAGACTGGCCGTCGGAGGCTCCACTGGGTGCCAGGAGGGAAAGTCCCAGTGAAGCCAGGTGGACGGCGAAGCCAGATCTCCTCGTGCAGGCTACCCTGCAAGAACGCAGTGCTGAAGTCGAGAGAGTGAAGCTCGTAGTCGCGCTGAGCGGCTATGTGCAGCAGCACCCGAAGAGTAGTCATCTTCGGGGTGGGAGAGAAGGTCTGAAAGTAGTCAACTCCCTGCCGCTGACTGAAGCCACGAGCAACGTACCGTGCCTTGAAGACAGGTGGAGAGCCCGGCGGCCGCTTCACCCTGAAGATCCACATGCCACTGACGATGTTCGCCCCAGGAGGGGGAACCGCGTCAACGTAGGTGCCTGTGGACTTCCAGGAAGCCATCT